TTTGCTTTTTTTCTCTTGAAAGTTATGTTATAAAAGCAATAGGAAACTTTTTCCCTGTGTTTGCATATCCTGATATAAACACTCGAGGGGTTGGGAAAATTCTCGACAGTTATGCAAACCCTCGACCTCGTCTCGGGTTTGCATAACTGTGTCGAATTCTCCCAACCCCTCTCGTACTTATATCAGGCTATGGAAACATGGAAAACATTTTCTATTGCTTAATTTTAATACTTTGCAAGCGCAAATCACGCAGTCGGGATTTGTACAAACATTCGCGACTAGTAAGAATTTCTCTTTTAATCGGAGCCGGTAACAGAAAGTGTTGCTTCGTTTTGTCCGGAAAAACGATCGAATCGCGATAAAAAAACGAAATTCAATTTTGGGACTACATTACGGCTTTCTAATAACGGTACTGGAGAAAATATATTATTATATACATACTGAGAAATACTCACCAAAAAGCTATGTCGTAAATTTTCGTACGCAAATTAGTTCTAGCCAATCAGAGGAGCGAATGATGGTTTTCACTCGTGAAAAAAATGATACGTCCAATCAGAACCGCGAACGATGTTTTTTCACGTGTGAGAAAAATGATACGTCCAATCAGAAGCCACAGAGGTGTGTGAGTTTGGCGCCAAAATTCCCGCCTTTTATTGCAGCTTGCAGCGCCGCTTCGCACACATTCAACGAGAAAAGTTTTACTCAAAGGGTTTTTCTCGCTAAAAAAGTGAAAAACATTTCGGAAATGGAGTGGAATAGTTTCGTTTGTTTCGCTGTCGATAAAGAAAACGGTAGAGAGCAACAGCGAAAAGGGATAAACAGAACGAGAGTGGAAGACGTAAGCTTTTGTTGTGCTTTTTGTCGAGCTACTTTGCCTTTCATTTAAGCTTACGCTCATATTGAAACCGGCCATTTTACTTAAATTCACTCATTTTCAATTGTGCATTGAGAACAAACAGCTAAGATTACTTATAGTTCTTGGATCACCTCATATCCTCACCGTCATTTATGTTTTTAACAAACGTTTTTACTAAAAAGCTGATACTTCGTTTTCGTTGTCATTTTGCGGTCAGTGTGTAGCGGCAAATTTTAGCATTTTTGAAAGACTTAAAATAAAAAGGCCGCCAAAATGATGAATGTCTCAGTATGTATATAATAAACACAATACCACATGGAAAGTGCTTTGTACGGTATTTACGCACTCGTTGTTTTTGTATCAGAAATCTTACTCGTTCGCTGCGCTCACTCGTTCGATTTCTGATACGTCAACAACTCGTGCGTAAATACCGTACGCCAGCACTTTCCATGAAGTATTTTCTATTTATTATGTAAACACCAATGAAATACCAGGTGAGCTTTCGCGCGAAAACTTGATATCTTCACATGTGAAAATAACATGTTATCTTCACATGTGAAAATATCACCGTTGCCATGGCTACATGATAAATCGCGCCTTTCACACCAAAAAAACTATTTAAGTGAAATGGTTAAGTATTTCATTGGTGTTTACATAATAAATAGAACATTCCAAGGCCGCTTGGAGATACGAAATTTCTCTTCTCGTGTTCAGTGAAATATTTTTCAACACTCGAAGAGAAATTTCGTATCTCCGCGCAGCCATGTAATATCCTCTATTTCCGCATAAAACGAATAAAAAAACTACAGTTGCCACACTATATCGGATAGAGTTGCACCGTCACGAAAACCATACTGGACAAGGCTTCTGTTTACCAACAAGAACGGTTGTGGCGGCGCGATTTTGATGACAGAGCGAAGCTGCGCCGCATCGATCTCGAAAGAGGAGCGTCACATACTGGATTGGTTTTATGCCATACTTTGGTGGAGTGTGAACTCTTATTCGGTCCGTCGAGGAAGTAAATAGGCTGATTTAGCAACAGGACGGAAACGTCAGTTGACGACGGGAAAGCGCGCGGAAAGGACTAAACACGAGTTCCGGCCGGTGCCCGATATGCCGCTCTGCCATTGGTCAAGCCAGTTGTTTGATTTGCGCACGCCGTCGTCAACTGACGTTCCCGTTCTGTTGCTAAATGATTTTAACGCCTAATGCAAAAGAACAACAGATATCACTCGGCAAAGTATGAAATATTCCGATTTCATTGATAGTAAATAGTTCTTGAGAAAAGCGCTTAAAAGGACCCTACTATTCAAAGAAAATCGCGTCTAGTTAAAAATTTTGGATATTTTTTTACTGAAATTTCTGGACGTTGGAACGTGACTAAAAGTCGCTCAAAATTCACTGTTATGGAATTTCAAAAATAAAGACGGTTTTAATTTTCGGGACAAGTAAATTCAAAAGCCGATTGCCTATCGTGCTATTCTTTAAAAAGGTGCTTTTCAGTTTTAGAAGCACTATAAATTGCTCCAAACCTTGCTCTGACGTCGAATGAAACGTTTTTTAAAATATCCCTTAAGTTTTGGTTCAAACTCTTCCGGACAACCTTTTCCTTGTACGGAATTCAGGAAAAAGGTATTGGGATTTCCCTTGTATCGAAGCTCAGATAGAACCGTCCAGCACCTTTGTTTATGACCAGAGATTGAAGGAAGGAGTGACAAAAATTTCAGAGTTGTAAATTTAAAATTTTTGATAATTTTATTTTGCACTGTGATGTTATTCGGCTGGGTGAGGTGTGAATTCTCGGAGAAGTGTTTTTTGTCATAAACAAACGACATTAACATTCAACGGTTACCCTGTACTGTGATTAAGTTCCATGTTGTTGAGGAAACTAAGGAAGCTAAGGAAGGTGTGCTGTACTTTGCGCGAGACTTTTAGGTGAAGTTTGATCGCGGATGACGACTATACTGCCGGATATCGGTCTAATCTACAGTTTATTGACAGCTAAATTTATTGATTTATCTTTATTAACCGACTACTGTACGTATTTCAAGGAAGTAATCCAATACTACTTTTGTCAATTCAGTCTGGTGTCCGCTTAATAGAGGTTTTTAACAATAGAAGTTAGACAAATACGATTTACTTTAGTGTCCGCGTCCGCTTACTAGAGGTGTCCGCTGAATAGGGGCTCGTTATAAAGGGAAATATAAGACGTTAATTTCGGAACCTGGCTTAGTGTCCGCTTAACAGAGGGTGTCCGGTTAATTAGGGGTCCGCATAATAGAGGTTTCACTGTATTCAGGAGTGAGGACTGGAATTTGGTGCACCAAACCCTCTCGGCTAACCGCTCCGGCGGCACGATGTTTGATGTGTGTAAACAGAGAGCTTAAGATCCCCCTTTTCCCGCAAACGGCAAACGTCTACCCTGGGTGCCAGAGACTTTTCTAGCGCGGTTTCCGGTTTCTGTCGAGTCTTTATAGTGACCCGCGCGAAAAGTTTTTCTCGCGGCTTCGGCCTACGGCCGAAGATGTGTCGGCCTTCGGCCAACACCGAAAATTCCCGCCGCGCGCGAGAAAAACCTCTGGTACCCAGGGTAGCAAACGTCAGACTCAAGTTGAGAATTTCTCAGGATACAAAATACAGCTATTTCGAGGAAGGTTGTCGGGAAAAGTGTACGCGACAATCCCGAAAGGTATTGTGGGCGGTTTTGAGTTCACTGTTCTTCAAAGAAATTTGAAACAATGGCACGAGAGGCCATCGACGTATGTTGGCAAATGCTAAAGGCAAGCAGCAATAGAAGATGCGACAGCTGCAGTGTCAGGAGCAGCGTGTTGATCATACCCCATGTTACCTTTCGGGATTGTCGCGTGCACATTTTTTCCGACAACCTTTCTCGAAATAGCAGTATGCAGATAAAAACAGTTCAGAACGATTCTTATGGATAAAACTGGCATAAAACTACCAATTCTTGTGTAGAAGCAATGAAGAGTAAGCGGAAAATAAGGGGAAAACTTGGTCACGTGGTACAAATTCACGTTTGCCGTTTGGCGTAAACGTGAATCTTAGGGCCTGTTTACATGGAATGGGGGACCCCGGTCTAGTGGGGTAAGTTTCTTTTGTTTTCACGCTCTGGAGGACACGAAACAAAAGAAACTTACCCCACTAGACCGGGGTCCCCCACTCCATGTAAACAGGCCCTTAATCTCTCTAACGACTCTGTACCGCCCTGGGCCGTTGATGCTCATACCATACCCGATAGTTTTCCGTGGCGCCACAAACAGTTATCCGATTTAGTAACGAACATAACCTTAGTCGTCATTTGACGAGGGATTTGAAAAGCAGTTCGGCTTCCTTTTTAAATTCAAGTGATAATTTCTAGGTTTCAGCATTCTCCCAGAGCTACACGCCTGTCTCTCAAACTCAAAACTCGCATGAACAGTAATAAATTCTCTAGCCAACAATTCAAATATTATCATACAATTTTTTTAAATAATTCAGATCGCCGCGGTCTCATGAGAAGAACGACGACCGTGCGATCTTTAGCAACCTCGTCCCCAGGGTTTTTTTCGCCCCTCCCAATTTCTAAGGGAAAAGCCCTGGGGACGAGGAAAAGTGTCCGTGTTATTAAGATGAACATATTTTAGAAGGAGGAACTGTAAAGGTTTGCATCTTTAGGACCAAGAGAACTGTCCGTGTCCGTGAAAAGATGTCTGTATAAGAGTAATGATAACAATAATGTGCAGTAAATCATGATTTTCAATAACGTTTAAGAAGGGTGCGCCAAAATATGGAGGGGGCGGGAGGAAGCTTTTTCATTTAGCGAAACGCAGTATTGTTAGGCTAAGAGGAAGAAGAACCTGTTTTGGATTAAAGGAATGACTATCTGACATAACATTTTAGTGATACCATTAAGACTGTGGAGTGCTTTGATGTGTGAGAGTCTTAAGAGAGAAGCTTAGTATTCATTCGTCCTTCCCATAAATATCGGGAAAGGGTAACTTAATTGACAAGGAAAACGCAAAAAGTATTTGTGGTATTCAATCTGTTTTCAATTGTTATAAGAAGGTAAGACGGAGAGAGATCTGTGTTTTCATCATTTTACAGATCGAAGGATTGACTGAGACCGTGGAGGCCTGGAATCTAAAAAATGAAGATCACCCCACGAAGATGTCTCAGAAATGGAGTAATAATACTGATTATCTTCGGCCTTTTGAGCTGCTTTAAAGTTCTCTGGCGGCCAAAAGTAACAACAGTTATTAGAAAACCTCCATCTAGACTTCAGTGGGTTCAAGGTCAACCAACAAGGAAGCCGGCAACTCAGATTGACTATCCAACTCACACAACTGAAATAAACGACAGTAGTACATCCCTGCTGGACAAATCACGAATCCTAATTCTTGTCTACACTAAATTTTGGAATGAGGAAAGGTGGGTTGGTGAACTACGAGGCGAGTGCTTTTTGGATTATGAGACTCAGTGCCCGTTAGAGAAATTTGAGGTGACGTACGATAAAAAGCGGTTTGCGGAGAGCGATTTGGTGATTTTTCACGCCGCTGCGGTAAACATGCCAAGTTTAAAGCACCTAAGATCATTATCAAAGAACAGGACATCTTCGCAGCGATGGGTTTATCAGAGTATGGAAAGTCCCATGTCAACGCCTGATCCAGAGCCGTTGAACGGACTGTTTAACTTAACTTGGACATACAGAGGAGATGCTGACTTCTCGGCAGCCTACGCAGCCTATGTCCCCCTAAGCCCCGAAGAAAAGTTAAATAAAATGGCATCTTTTACGACAGACTTTAGTCAAGGAAAATCAGAACTTGTAGCCTGGCTAGTTAGCAATTGTCAATCTCAACTACGAATGTCTTTTGTACGGGAACTGAAAAAGTACATTAAAGTTGACGTTTTCGGATCATGTTCCCGATTGTTTGGCAATCCACGAATATGCTCGAAATCATATGAGAAACACTGCCTAAAGAGGTATAAATTCTATCTTTCTTTTGAGAATGTGATGTGCAAGGATTACATCACTGAAAAATACTAGGATCATTTAGGTAAGGTTTGTGTTGTGCTGCTTTGTAGGGGTAGAGTGGCTGTATACTTAACAATTATTGCTCGAGCCAGAATGGGCTCTGAGCCAAAAGCCCATGAGGCCGAGGGCCGAATGGGCTATTGACTCAGAGGCTATGAGGGCGAGAGGAATAATTCTTTTAGTAAAAGCCAACTACCGTATTTATTCGAATGAGCGCCTAACCTCGAATTAGCGCCCACCACGAATAAGCGCCCATCCTGAAGGCAGAAAAAGTTAAAATAAGTAAGCGCCCAGCCTCGAATATTACATTTTATGCCGAGGTTAATCCTGTCTGAAAGTGTCGTTATTGTTTGTATTAAGCAGTAATTTTCAATTCGACCCTGGACTAATCGTCACAACATTCAATATGGATAATCACCATGCCTTATTCGCTTTTTAGTTTTGCGCTCACACCATAAAAATAATAACGCGAAGGCCCAAAAGTGTGGCTAAGTTCAGACGGCAACGATTGAAGAAATTTCGACCGATTGAAAATTCTTGCGTTTAGGTGTTCCGTTCACACGGAACCACCTGAAGGGTATGAAAATTTAGAGGCCTAACCGCTCCGTGTGAACAGAGCGAAAATATTGAACGGTCCCGAGTGAACGACGTGCCCCGTCAAATTTTTCAGCCGGTCGAAAATTTGTCCGGTGCTGTGCGAACATAGCCTAAAACACTCAGTTAACCCTTTAAGCCCTCAGAGTGATCAGCATCAAATTTCTCCTTGTAATATCAATACATTGCAAAACAGAGTGGTTATGAGAATTACGGACATGATCACACAAGATGAATTTGTTTGATATTTTATCAACTTCTCCCCACTACTTTTGTAGGAAATGGATAGGGGCAACAAATGAGAATTCAAATTTTGATCTTAGGGTCTAAATTTAGTTAAGATGAACTCAAAACTTGGCTGTTCTCTTTCAGGAGAAGAAACAAATATTGTTCCCGTTGTGATGGGAGGCGCTGATCCCTCAGACTACAAAAGGCTGGTTATTCCGGGGTCCTATATAAATGTTATGGACTTCAAGACTGTAAAACAACTGGCAGAATATCTTCAATATCTGGACAAAAACAACACAGCTTATAACGAGTACTTTAAGTGGCGGCTTAAATACAAAAGAAGTCCTTATCACTACCCTCTGTGTAACTTTTGCAGATCGCTCTCCTTAAAACCTGACCTTAGAAAACCTAAAGTTTACCACGATCTTAAAAAATACTGGGAAGGAGAAGGAATGTGTAAAATGCAAGGAATACTTGTTAGATATATGTGGAGTTGAATGGTGACTAAACTTACGAGAAGAATTTATTTTTTCACAGACTCAAATGCCATTTGAAATTATATTTTTAGAATTACCCACACGTACGCATGCGGCCTACAAGAGGGTTGGTTTACTTTTGCGATAGTCATGAGGGAATGCGCATGAATAAAGCTTGTTTCAGGGATTCTGCCCCATGCAGTGGTTCAAAAAAGGGGAAAACACTACAGCCGGATAAATCTCTGACTGGTTTCTACAGTACTGTCTTATCCGCTAGATAGGGATTTATCCGGTGGATTGCGCGCTATCCAACGTTTGAACAACCGGGGGCAGATCCTCAAGGCATTATAAGCAAGCGTGAGTGAAAGAGAAAAAAACAGCGGGGAGACTAAGGAGAGAAAGGAAGATTCCCTCCCTTCTCCACATTCGTTCTCAAGCGCTCATTTGAGGGCGAGCGTATTGCATCAACGGAATAACGGGCGAAGATAGTGTAGCTACTCCCTTATTACTTACTCCCCGCATTTACAATTTAATCAATGAGAAAAAGAGTAGAGTTTTTTCCGCTTCCCTCGCCATTTTGCGTATATTTTCGTTCGCTCATACATGAATGCTCCAAGTGAAATTTAACAGTGCACTGGCCTTGACTACGTAAATTTAACAGATTAGGACCCGATCAGCCCCAGCGTTAGCACATGAGCAATACCACCTAAAAAGCTATGGTCGACTAGTTTCCTTTTATCGCGAAACACCTTGCTCCTTACAGAAAACCGACACTGCTGGAACAAAATGACGATAAATTATTGCAAATAAGGCCAAGAAAGTTACAGTGTACAAGTATCTACGAATCTTAAATGAAAACCGTCTTATTTCACTTTACACTTTCAGTTCGCCCTCCTGTTGAATTTAGCTATAATGCTCTCTTGTAGACTGCCTGCCAAAGAGACACAATTCGGGGTGCTTAGGCGGGTCTAAGGCAGGAGCGCGAAGTGTGTCTCGCGTGTATCGCCCAACCAATGGGAGGAGCGTTGCGTGACGACACAAAGAACGGCTGTGAAGCAGAGTACCCCATTAACGCCTGTTTTGCAAGATACTTGTAGAGACCGAGAGGCGTAGCTACGGGAGTTTTGAGCAAAGAGCCAAGCCTCAAGATGACATAGCCGTAACTTCTCGCGCACGTCAACGCGAAATCCAGCAAAGGGCCCGAACAATAGATACCGCTTATAAGCGGGCTTGCGTCATGTTGAATCATTTAAGGAAGTCATAAGGTTGTTACCAACACTAAAAAGCAGCCCTCTATTGTGTGTAACAACCGGCCAACCAGATATCACACAAAAATGCAAGTGGTCCAGCGCGAGAAACTTAACAAATACGAAAACGAGTACTACTCGTAAACCGTTTATTATAATACTAAACACTTTTTTGCTTGTGGCATTATTACATAACAGGTAGCACCCCCAATAATCTTATTTCAAAGCATTTCCAAGTAAAGGTGCGAAAGCCTACTCTTACTTAAGAAGTCAAAGTCATTTTTGGCGGGTATTGTAATTGTGGTCACTGAGATGCAACACACAATTCAAAAGTATTGCTTTATGACTAGTTAGAAGGCCTCCATAAGGCGAAAAGCAAAACCCCCTGCATGCGAATACACGTGGTTAGAATTAATTTCACTTAACAGTTTAACACTGATTCTTAAGAATCAGGAGTAACCATATCTCTGGCGACTTGGAAAGCTGCTATCATAGAACTCAGCTGGATTTTTTCTGACGTTCCCGCTGCCAGGCGGTATCTGAAAACAGTGAAAAGCCGATTTCTTGTTGGTTTACTTTTTTTCATGGCATTTCAGGGCCGCCAACTGTAACTAGACATTATCCGTTTTTATGTTAGAGACGTTCAAGTCGTATAAGACGTTAAAATCGTCTTTCTCTAACGTCTCATGCAAAACGGCAAATAAGACAGTCGCATTTAACGTCTGATGACATTAACGTCTTCTGTTAAGTGCGTCATTCAAACGCACGTAACAGACGACCTTAACGTCTCAGTTAAATTCCTCTAGTATAAAAACGGGACGTCCTAAACTGCAGAACACACTGATGCCCCAACCTGTCAAGAATCGACTGGGAGAGTCAGTGTTTTGTCTTTTTTCAGAAAACTCTTTTTTTCAATGTTTTCGGTTACTTTTATACATTTCGTTTCTACACCAGACAACTTTAACGTCTCAGACGTTAAATGCCTCTAGACGACTGTCTTTAGCAAAAAAAGGTCATTTTAAACTCAATTCTCAATTCTCAAAGCTTGAAAAATGAGTTGCAAGTGACACATCATGTGCATGTTGTAGTTTAATTTCATCCTTGGCTTACTTTTATTTCCCTTTGTTTTGGGGTATGGTAATGTATGATAACCAGTTTGAAACAAAAGAAAATAACATTTACACCAAGATAAAACTGAACCAGGACATAATCATACGTGTAAATGTATATGCCAGCAACATACATTGTACATGCACAGAGAAGAACGTTGGATTGTACTTTTCTTACCCACATCATACTTCAATACATGTCATACATGTGTCTAACAACTACACCATTCACAACCCTTTATTTGGTATTATTTTAATTCATCGACTTTGCAAACTTGATGTGTGTGTGTGTGTGTGTGTGTCAAAGTGTAGGGAGCCCACTTTCCTTCCCTTCGCCCTCAGAGCATTAACAAGGTTTAGCTCCTAGTCCCAGTTGTTCAAAACATGGATAGCGCTATCCACCGAAAAAATCACTTACTTTTATCAGGGAAACCAATTGCGCTATCCAGTGGATGGAGATTTATCCAGTGGATATCGCTATCCACCTACAGAAAAACTGGGGGCTGGCCTCATCTTGAAAGTAAGAGTTTTTTAAGCATAAATAAAATGGCCTATTACGTTTAGTACATAACATGGATTTGCCTTTACTTACTCAACATCTGCAAGCTTCTCCAATAACTGAATTCTGATCTTCTGAGGAAAGTTAACTGTAAGGGAGAACACATTGATTTGTAAGAGCAGGGCTCAAAATAATGGCTGGTCAATGGACAATTTCTGGCCAGGAAGGCAATTTGACCAGCCACAAACTTCACTCGCTGGTCAAGTTGACCAGTCAAACACACTCAAATTTAGTGAGGTTAAATTTATTTAACACAGTTAATAACGAGGAGCGAGGGCGTGGTCAACGGTCACTCATTTGGGTAAAGTGCAGTCAGCCTTGCTTGCATCACCTCCAATGTGCTCAGTACAACGTTTTCCTGACGGCCACTCTCTTCGTTTAGCCTTTGGATCATTCTTTTACCCCCATCCCTCCCCCATTTATTTTTCCACTGATAAATCAGTGTGACAGGTGCCTGGCTCCATTGGAGTGGGGGCTCATGGCTGGAGGGCGCAGGTTTGCCAGCTATGGGGGGCGTGACTTTGTCTAGGGGTTGGCTGTGCCAAAAGTGGAAGCCCCTGAACATCCCAGGCACCCACCTCCACTAAGTGACGCAGTTGTGAATTCTTAAAAAGTTAGCCAAATCCTCACCAGTAAATCTTAGATTTTGCGTTTTTGAAAAAATATAATCACGTTCATAAATAGAAAATGGATTAGTTGGCTTTTTTTTCATTTTTGGTCCGTCAAAAATGAGACCTGACCAAGCAAAAATTTCTTTGGCCAGTCACTGTGTCTGGCCATCACCTGGAAATTATTTTGGGCACTGAAGAGAGGTAGAGTTAATGTGCTTAACATAAAGCCAAAAATCCACACCCACAGTTTTCAGCTTAAAATTCAGGCAAAAAGGTGTGGTTTTAAATTACATTGTATGTTAAACAGCTTCTGTACTGTTGTACAAACTAACCTCTATGAACATACAGATGAACCTCAGTGAGAATATCCTGAAGAGCTAGTCCTTTTAAAGTTTTAAGCTTCATAATGTCTGTTAACAGGTTAAGGCTACAATTATTGAATGACATTATTTCAAGGAGCATGTCTTGGGAAAAGATTTAATACCGGTATTCAGTCTCTTACCGTATATTAGGTAAGTCAGTATAATGAACATTTATTTATAAGGTTGAACCTCCACTAACGGCCACCCCTCTCCACTTTTTGGCGGACAGTCCATACATTGACTATTGTTTAACCGTCTCTACAATGGCCACCTTTCTACAATGGCCCCTTCCTTCTGTCCCCAAGGTTGCTGTTTAGGAAAGGTTTAACTGGGACCACATGGCTTGCCGCTGTTGTGGCAACTGTGCCTATTAAGCATTTGTTTGTTATTCATTGTTCAGTAACAGGCGAAGCTAATAAAATAAAATAACTGTAGTCATAGGAAATGAAGATAATTGACTGTCCAGGATCTTTTCTACACATTCACACATGACAGAATGGTAAAAACATCATTTTCACCAGTTGTAAATAAGAGGCTATAATTTTATTGTTTGTAATATGGGGGCAGCCTTTTATTTTTGCTCATGTACACTGTACAGCTGCATAAGAGAATTAAAGATGCAGGAAAATATTAAAATGATTATCTTCATGTTTTGACAAGTTCTATAAATATCCAGACTAAAACATGTCCTATACACCTCATTCCCATTTATCTAATGACTATTTAATATTTCTTGGCGAAAATGAACACCAATGGCATGGCAGGCATTTGAAAGAGGGGCAAAAAGAGAACAATATGCAATAAAGCAAAGGGAATTTCTATTATTTAGCATTTAAATTCCCTTAAACATCCCATCACTCTGACATTACATTCCACCATAATACTAATCAGTCAAACCTTCCCAAAAAGCAAAGACTTGGTGGTCGTTTACAAGAATCAAACAAGAAAGCGTCTATTCTGAGAAGGGTTCTGGACACATCTATTTCATGAAAGACAATTCAGTGCATGCACATTAGACTGTATGTGCTGTATGTGCCATGTTGCCACCAAAAGTTCTTCGTACTCTCTAAGTAGCAGAGTACATAGAGCAGACATAAAAAACAAGAGAAAATTGCTAAACTGCCAGCCCTTAAACGTGGTCGTGGATATTTACAGGTGGTTGTTTATGAGAGGTTCCAACTGGGAAAATTTCGGTGTTCCTGGATCGGCAGTTGCTTATCAGAAGTGGTCGCATACAAGAGCCTCCTAGCTTGCGTGAAAAGGATACTAGTGAATGCAGTATTGAAGTCCTCATTAAGCATCCATTCAACTATATTTGCAATATCTGATCTTAAAGGTTGTCCTGTACATGTGTAAACATTCACTTCATTTACAATGTCAAATGCCATGGCTGTGCTCTGAAAACAAAAGAAGCCACGGTGCATAGAATTAGGAACAGAGAAGGAAAAAGTTTGCAAGACATCAAATGACACCAAGACAAGAATTTCAACCCAGTGGTGTTGTAGTGGAAGACAGCCATTTCATAATCAATGATTTTTAGTATACGTGGTAATTTTAGCCTGACTAGATCTCTTATACATGTAGAATAAGGTCTCAAAACTCTTAAGTCTCACCATGCATGCCACTGCCACCCCCGACAAAAATTGTGAAATCTGGACCTTTTACAATGCATTTCCAGCACTCTGGAGCAAGAGAGTTTGAACAGAACACAGACATCATTAAATTTTGGCGTTTTTATTCAGTGAATTTCGCCAGCTGCCAGTTCTTATTGAAAACCCTGCACGGAAGGAAAAATATTATTCTGTTTCAATCTTTGCAAATTGCTTACCTGGAGAATATTGAGTGCTTTTCTCATGTCCCCACTGGCTAGTCTGACCAAGCTTTTCATACCATCCTCTGGAACTTGAACACTGAAAAAAAAAATGATAATATTATTGATTTTTTAAATTATTGCCATTATTTTCAGTCTCCAAGGAGAGAATCTTACTCATCTGGAAGTGTATTATTACACTGCATGACCAAAATGGTCACCATTACAAGCTATACAATAAAAATGCATGTCAACAATTAAAAAATAATACTTGACAGCTCAAGACCTGGTGCAAACATACCCCTCTGTTTTGATGACATGCTCAAGTCGTGTTGTCATCTGTTCATTGTCAAGAGGTCCAAACCTAAATCGTGTGCAGCGAGACTGCAGAGCTGGGATTATCTTGGTCAGGTAGTTACAAATCAAACAGAACCTTGTTTTCTCTGTAAATTTCTCCATTACTGCAATGCAAAGCACATCAAAAAACAATGTCAGTATAGCATCAAACACCATACCTACATGTACTAAGACACTGCTTGGTTGACTTTGTATCGTGCATTATTTTTACATTGATATTTACATGAAACTATACACTGTACCTCTTCTTAGGGCATTCTGTGCATCTTGAGTCATGGCATCTGCTTCATCTAAGATCACAAGCTTGAAACCAGATCTACAAAGGTCAAAGGACACGCCATGTCATTTGAGCCCAGAAAACAAAAACAATGATACAAAATGCAGACCACAGTGTAATTAAGAATCCCAAGCAGGAACTTACTTAAAAATTGTTCTTGTGCTTGCAAAACTAAGAACAGCTCCACGGACAATGCCAATACCACGATCATCTGATGCATTCAGCTGCAACAGAATGCACAGAACATTTTAGAGAAAACCAGTATACTGTGCATGTACTGTATGTACATGTGGTTAGCACAACAAAGAGAAGTAACCCAAAAACAGACATGAACATTTTGAATTATAGTAAGTTAATTGCCAGTGAGGAATGAAACAGCCATTTTGTGGATATGTTGTGGTTCAATTTTATCCTTGGTTTAAATTATATTTTCCTTTGTTTACAATATTCATAATCATACGTTACCATACCCAAAAACAAAGGAAAATAAAATTTGAACCAAGGATAAAATTAAACCACAACAGATACATAGTACTCAGAGAGTTCTCTTCAAGTGCCTTTATTAACAAAACAAATGAGACGAAAATGTAATTATTTTTTCTCGAAGAGTGCAAAAAAGCCCACATTATCAATTTTAATACAGGTAATGATTACTGATAAGACCTATCAAGCATGGTACTTGTTTAATGTCAAATCAAGATGGTACATTTTTGAATGACTGTTGTTTGGCTATATTATGAAGAAATGTTGGACAAACACAGTCATCATTCTGTATCCATCATGCGGCTTATTCTTTCCAAGATATGCCCTCACCTCAAGAACCATGGAGTTAAACTCTCTGGCAGAATAAATCTGTTTAGCAACAGCAAGGATGGTGGATGTTTTTCCAGTGCCAGGTGGACCGTAGAACAACAAATGAGGCAAACGATCCTCCTCAATGAATCGCTTAACTGCCAACAAAAATGTGTAGTGTTAACTTAAGTCCAATACAGTGCACTCCTGTAAATTTGCTTACAGCAACAAACAATGTCCAAAATAAGATGCTAGTAGTGTTACTTCCAGACATACATGTAGATGAACATTTAATTTTCTTACAATGTATTGCCAGGATCCTCTAAAATACTGTCATTGTAAAATTAATCATAGTCATGTGAAAGATCTTTTAAAATATATCAGTAAACTAGAATGTTTCTGTAAAAAAAGAAACACAAATTAAAGGTCCTCTAAGTTCTCATATTAACTTACGGGTACTTCAAATTTTCCACTTTATATTGTGTAGTTTCAGAAAATATCTACACTCCCCCCACAGAAGGGATTGGAAATTCCTGGGGAGTGGGGGGTTCTCAAAGGCCCAAAAATGTACGTAAATGTATGAAGCTTGACTGGAATTTCCAGAGAGGGGGGGGGATCTAAGAAAAAACCCCTTCCATGGGGGAGGTATGGATAATTTTTGGAACCACACATTGTACATTCAGTACACACCAAATCAAAGGAGAGAATCTATGCAACGTAGAATGCCAATTTGGGCATCTACTGTATATGAAATTATGATTTCCGCATCAAGTACTGAAGAATTGCCAAGTCTATCAATACTTGACGAGGGGCTCTTTACTGGCTACTAGTTGTACATAGGTTGGCCCTGGGAAAAGTAACTTACTTGTTGTAATGATATCCTTGTGGGAAATAAGATCCTCCAAACTATTGGGTCTGTATTTCTCAACCCTGTTGCGACAAAAACACATAATAACTTTCCAGTGTATTAAATCCAGGACATTTCTGTGAGCTTAGTTGAGCTTTACTGGGGAAAATATCCTCTCATTATTATTGTTATTCATTTACAAACATTCATACATTTGATAGCCTTTTATTACTGCATTTACAAGTGGAACCCTGTTACAATAATTGTTACAATAATTGTCAGTTCCTTGGCCCTTAATTATTAAGGGCCAAGGAACTGACAAAATGTATGTTTGCTATAACAAGGTTATGTTGAGGTACTTTTCCATGTAAATTATGTTCATTATACTGAGGAGGTCAATATATAGGGGCTAATAAAATCAAGGTTCCACTGTATTCAGTAATTCATTATTTAGTTGTTAGAGACCTCACTGAACAAAACAAAAAAATAAATTGTTACAGACTCAGCCACTATGGTACACTTTTTTTGAAATATGAAACTGAAAATGTTTCATACCTGCTCTGTAATATGTGTTCATTCTAAGGTTAATTTTTGTGCATCTTTATTACCTTATCTTTATCTAGATACAAGAGGTAAAGCTTGATTTACAGGGCTGTCATTAAGAGCCGGGGGCCGGGGATTTTCCCTGGCTATTTTGACATGGCCCTACGTGACCTGATACTTTCATAGGAAAATAGAAGAAAAAAAGAACCAAAAGAAATCCCTAGCTGTTTCATTCCCTATCTTCTTGTGATATTTGCCCGCAACTTGAAATCTTAGCGACGTCCATTTTACAGAGTGTATTAAAATTGTATATTTTTTTACGGGTGTCCGGAAAACTAAGACCTAAGACCTAAGACCCGGAAAACTAAGACCCCCCTTTTTTTTTTCCAGGGGAAATCATCAAATTTCAGCTTTCTTTACCTTTAAGTGGTAAAATGAATGAAATGAATGCACTCACACCTACAAATAACAACTTAGTTGTGTTTTTCAAAGTAAACTATTTCTGGTTACCGCAGGGTGGCGTTTTCACTGTGCACTAAAGTTTGCGAAAAAAAAGCGAAATTAAGCGAAGCAGTTCCTTATCTACTTTGCAAACCGGTAGCACAACACCGCCCGACCGTAACCGCCGCCACAGAGAAGGAAGGAAAGACAACATCCCCAACAAGAGACCTCGCTATAACAGATACAGCGCCTCTACTCTGGAAAAGAAAGTTGAAAAATCCGAATCGTCTATTAAGAAACTGAAGGCACACACCGAGAAGAAAACGTGCCCTAAAGACCTGAGGTACAACGTACGAGTCAACATCGTGCCGGACGGTGAATTCAAAAGTGACATCAGCCACATCCGCAGAGAAGCTGAACAGAAACTTATCGGCGTGTGTTCACACGCTACCACTACAGACGAGCAGAAAGCAACAAAATCAAGCTCAAACAACTGGAGCAAAGACCAAACGTAACCAGAGGAAAGAAAACGAACAATCCTGATCAAATTAAGAACCAGCCACGACCGGAAAAAGAAAACCGCACTGAGAATGCACTAGTTTTAGCTACAGAGCTAACAAACAAAATCAAGAAAGTGGAAGAAATGATGAAAGCTTTACAAAATAAAGAAAGTGAATCTTATCCCTGTGTATTTACTGACTCTTCAGTCAAAGGGAGGGAGAAAGAAAAACGAAAAATCAGAAATGAAAAAAACCACTCGCGAAGAAGCAATAGGAGGCGAGACACAAACAGGATAAACACTCAGTTTAACCAAAGATACATTAAAAACCTCTCAAATTGCAAAATGACAACTGATCAGATCAACTTACTATCAAAGGGGTTGAATTTTATCCAAACACCGGTTCTAGAAGAGAATCGCATCCGGCAAAAATTGCTGCTAGACTTTAAACAGTTCGCGAGGCGAATGCGCCTCCGATATATTTTTCACAACAAGGAGAGTGAACAACACCCCTTTCACGTTAAATCAAACTGGGAACCTCCAGTTCAACGATCAGTTGCGCTAGAAACTTATTTAGAGGAAGTTAAAGCTCAACTCGCTGAGATTGAACTAATTAAGCCACGAAATAACTTGCCTTTCAAAGAACATAAAGTGCTTAGAGAATTGAGATCAAACTCAGAAGTAATCATAAAAAAGGCAGACAAGGGCACAACAACGGTCATCAGGAACAAAACAGATAAAATACAAGAGGGCCAAGTTCAGCTTGATGATAGAAAAAACTACATGCCCCTCGAAACACCAATGGTCCAAGAAACCTCTCGAAGGGTTGAAGAGATAATCAATGATCTCCACCAGGGAAATCATATAGACGCAATGACCAAGAAGTGGCTTTCTCAAACACCTAGCCCACCGCGTATACCATTATTTTACACGCTAACAAAGATTCACAAACCAGTTTTAACTGGCAGACCTATAATTTCGGGCTGCGATGGCCCAAGAGAACGTATATCATCATTTTTAGACCACATCCTACAGCCTATCACTAAAGTACAAAAATCCAACCTCAAAGATACCACTCAGTTTATCAACTTTATAGAAAAGAGGAAAGTTCCAAACAACGCGATCCTAGTTTCAATGGATGTTACCAGCCTGTACACCAATATTCCTCAAGAAGAAGGAATAAACACTGTATGCAAAGCATATGAAGCCTTCTATAAGAACGACACACCCATTCCTACAAATTCACTCAGAGGCTTGCTTAGACTTATACTACAGGAGAACTCCTTCCAGTTCAATGGAAGAAACTATCTCCAGACTCATGGTACCGCAATGGGAACAAAAGTGGCAGTTGCTTTTGCCAACATCTTTATGTCCGCGGTAGAAACAGAAATTATCAATAAAAGCAAGATAAAACCTCTCGAGTGGAAAAGATACATCGATGACGTGTTCTCCCTGTGGGACACAAACAGAGAGGAAATAGACCAATTCATTTTAGAAGCAAACAGGCACCATCCTACCATAAAATTCATGGCTGAAATATCAGAGGAGAAAACAAACTTCCTAGACACTACTATCTTTAAAGGCGAGAGATTCTACAAAGATTCAATCTTTGACATCCGTACGCACTTTAAACCGACTGAGACATTTCAATACACGCATTTTTCCTCCTGTCACGCTCCAGGTGTGAAAAAAGGATTTATGAAAGGCAAAGCCCTTAGGCTCCTTAGAACCAACTCTTCAAAGGCAACATTTGAAGAAAACGTTAAAAATTTCAGATCACACTTGCGTGTCCGAGGCTATCCAGATAATCTGGTAAACAAAGTCCTCGCAGAGGTCAAATTTACAGATAGAAAGTCGGCACTTCAACAAAAACCGCAAAAAGTGAAAAACGGATTAATGCCTTTTGTCACACAGTACAATCCATCAGTGCCTAACCTTTTAATATTTTAATGAGCAAGTGGCATTTAATCGAAAACCAACCAATGCTGAGAGAAATATACAGAGAACCACCTCTCATCTCCTACACGAGAGGAAAATCTCTAAAAGACATACTTGTTAGAGCTAAACTCTAAAGGTCAAAGACCTATTACATCACGAAACAGCGGGAGTCGTGTTTAGCCTGTCAACCCCTTTTAACCTTAAATTGTTATTTGTAAGTGTGCATTCATTTCATTCATTTTACCACTGGGTCTTAGTTTTCCGGGTCTTAGTTTTCCGGGTCTTAGGTCTTAGGTCTTAGGTCTTATATGCCCTATTTTAAGAGATAGTACTATTAATGGTTATAGTGAAATTGACATCAATGTGACCATCTCGTGTCTAATGAGGAAACTCGAGATAGATTCAAGAATAACTTTTGCAAAAATCCGTCCAGGTATGAACATTCTTTACTTTGATATCAAAAGTGTGAGAACAATGAAGACTACAGACTTGAAGACAGAAAAGATAAACACGGTGAACAATGTTGTGAAATCCTCCGAGAACTGTCCCAAGACTTTGAAACGACTTAACGTTTATGGATAGGAGTAGTTGTCACCTAATTTCAAAACACTACATGCTAACCGTGTTTACCTGCCAGTCTGCAGGTCGGCGGTCTGCTTGTACTGTCGCACACCACCCAACTTACCATGGAAGATTCCGTTTTTGTTCAGAAGAAACAACCATTTTTAAACTCTATTCCTCGCTTCCCTTTTTGCCTTGTAAAAACAAGTGAGACTTAAATAGTTTTCTCAACGAAATCGCCAGTCAAAGTGCATGAACTACACGGATAAACACAGGCCGGAGTTTTTTGCTTTTCACAGCTGAAGTAGTCCGCTACCGCTAACACTCCGCCATCTTGTTTAATTTCCCGCCAATACTAGCACGCATAACAAACAAAGATGGTCCGCTGGTAAACTGAACTGCCGCAGACTCCCGGAAACAAAGAATCTGGGTTATGTGCTTGTAATGCATGCTCGCTGCTCATTGTTAGAGTCCGGGAGAGACCTTTGGATCGAAAAAAAGGACAACGAGATTTGACTTAAAGTTTCTTTTCGCGTATTTTAAGAAAATACACACCGGGACAGCTTTATTTCTTTCTTAGTTTTTTCATACATATAAAAGGAGGTTGAGCCCTCTCCAGATCGCAAAATGATAACTGGTTTTCGCCACTAAGACATTCTCCCTAAAACTGGTAGAAGAATGACGACAGCTACCGCATTTTTTCCTGGCGAAATGACACACCCCTGTTCCCAGCAGGGGGTAGTGCATCATGTAAGCCCTCGCAAAATGTCCCGGACGATATTAACGCCCCCTTGAGTAGGAGGGAACCCTGGGAACGAGGTTGGAAATGACGCTGGTTTACGACCGCAAGCACTACACTGTACATGTATTAGGAAAATCTCGTCCTACGTCTTAGAATCCAAAGGTCTCTATTAAGATCGATGCCATGAGACTCTGTCAATCTCTAAATTTCTGTAAGAAAATTGTAGAATCAGCTTCATTAAACTAGTCACATGCGCATCAAGAGGACTAAAAAATGACTCAAAATTTGCCTTGTTTAAATCAAGGCGTAAAAGAATTTACAGTAATAAATTAACTCTTTTGTTGACAGGAGAAAAGGAGCGCTGTCTTGAAAGAATAATTGTACCTTACCAGAAAATCTCGTTTCAATGTTGACAAAGAACTGCTTAATTGATATGAAAATTTAGCTGACGGCATCTCTCCTCGCCCCACCCTACTTCAGCCTCTACAACGCTATTGCTAATAATTGGTCTAATTACCACATACAACAGCATAATAAAATTTATTTTTAATACGATATGCCGGAAAATACCTGTTTCGTGGCAAATCCGGTAAGGTCCCATGCTTCATTACCAATGCTGTGTTGTGTTCTTTGTTTTTCGTTTTTTATCATCAGTACTGAATTATAACCTGTTTCTCACAACAAACTAGGAGTGAATCAAACTAATTATAATGTAATTTTGGAAATTTTCTCTCTGAAGAAGAACTGTCCTTGAAAAAGGTGATTTCCACGAAAGACAATGTGTCATACCTTTGCTAAACGGTCAACATGACATGCAAAACTTATCGAGGATTATATATTCCAATTTTTTTGTTTCAAATTTATGTTACTACATAAAATGGGTGAAGTACTATTAAGAGCGCATTTTTTACTCATCGCACATAAAAATTACGTTACAAACAGTCTGCCACACAATTGCTAATAAATAGCGCGAAGTGAATTTAATCAAGTCACACGCGCAGCACGCATGGAATCGGCGATCTGGGAAATCATGCATACCAAGAGATTTTTTATGTTCTCTTGTGCATAGCTGTAGAAAATTCCTAGCTACGGCCCTGACTAAGCAAAATCTAGGTTGAAACCAAGGAAAAGTGTATCATCTTTGAAACGGCAAAGATAGCACTGCAGCTTTTCTCAGCGAAACCTCGGTGCTCTAATGAATATTCCCACTAATGTCGTAATACCAACCAAAACTGACACGATCAAGAATAGCCTGTCTAACACACGAGCAGCTTTGATCCACTCTTTTTGATTCTTCATCATCTGCGGGGAGATCTGCTTCTCTTTCTGATTAAGGTCGAACAGCACCGATGTCGAAATAGAAGGCGACGAATGTTCTTTAGCGAAACTACGACGTCCATGGTATCTGTGTTGACATGAGGTCTTTCGCCTTATACTCTTGTTTCTTTCCCTGTGGAAACTGGATTTTTTGCTGAAAGTGGAGCATTTGGCTCCGTACCCCAATTCTGATTCAAAGCCTCGATTGTTGTCATTATGGTGTATTATGCCGTTGGCAGGGAAACCATAGCTATATCGCGTCTTTTGCAGTGGAATCCACGGATCCGAAAAGGCAGGTGATATCTTTGGTATTTGGCGATCGTACGACGAATCGTCATGAGAAAGACACATATCGTCGCTGTCTGATCCCTGGTCTGCGCTTTGGAATGAACCTTCCTTGTACGACGCGTTCGATGCTTCTTTTTTTGTCTCTATGGGATTCCAATCTTTAGTGGAGCTTTTCTTGGGGAATACAACTCGCGCCAACCAGCGAAGAATAAGAATCCTCAGAAACTTGGGCATGCGTCGACTATTTCTATGATAGAAGTTTAATATGAGCGTTGTGACGAATAGGGAGGCACCTATTTCCACCATACAGGCAAAATAATACTGTCCAAGCAGAGGAAAGCCATACGAGGGCATCAGCTCGGAGCTGAGTTGCTGAAAGACTGTCATTGCTAAAAGCACTGTGATACTCAATCCTATTCGTTCACCGGACTCAGGAGGCAGCACAAAACCAAGGAATATCATGGATGAGATCAGCGAGCATGGAATGATCAATTTAAGGATAAAGTCCAGTGACTCACGCTGAAGTTCTATGTGTACGGTGACATCTACAAAAGCGTGCGGACAGCACTGGTATTTGAGCTGGTTTCGCTGTGATTCTAAAAGCGTAACCTTCCATTCTCCATTTTTCACATAATTTTTGTTGAACATTCCTCCGCTAGGTGCCCGGAGATTTACTTTGGAGCTGTCGAAAGACCAAGAGCCAAACTTCATAAAGCACTTCTGATTATCAAATGGAAAATACGTCACATCCACCTTGCAGATGCTTTTGAAGATTCCTGGATTAAGCCACGTAGTGTTGCCATCGTATTTCATAGCAACGTTGGTTTTGTACGTGTAACGCCCACCGCCAAAATGGTCCTCGTCGTCAACACTTTGAACAGTAAAGGTAAAGAAAGATATAAACTTAACGCTATAAACATGCTTAAACGGTCACTGAATCTAGTGTCATTGTTGCAAACGCTCATTTACTCCTGCTTTCTTTTTTCAGTTCACACACCACCATCAACTTCCAGTTGCAAACCAGGCGGAAAGAAAAACCATAACATCATTGACAAAGGTAGGAATAATAATAATAATAATAATAATAATAATAATAATAATAATAAAAATAATAATGATGATGATGATGATGATGATGATGATGAGGATGACAGTACTGATAATTACAAAATTCAAATTCGATTCGAAAAAAAATCATTAGCTCTAAATAGATCCTTTATTTGAACCACCCAAGAGAAGACCTATTAGAAAACCCAGTGTAGTAACAAATGATACGATCAAATGTTTTATAACGGGACACTTTTCTAGAGTCCCTTGGTGGTTTGTAATTGTGTTCCAGTGTGTGTAGATGTATGAGGATGGAGTAAGCCTGGGTCAAGCGTAAACTTTGTCATATTTTTAGTTTTTTAGATGAAAGTAGTTTATTTTTCCTAAACAAAACTGACAAATCATCCAAGCCCTTTCATTTTATACTCTCGAACACTAACGATTGTCAAGAAAAACGTTTTAATGTGAACAAAGAAACAATTTCCTTTTGTGCATTAAGTTTCAGTATCTACACTCATTCGGTTTATGACTTACTTGTTGTACAGAAGAATGTCGGGAACCCAGATATCAGAGGGTGACACGTGAATTTCCTTGATTCCACCGTACTTATTTGGATCCCATGTGAGTTGAGGATTCCTCCAATACTGTGAGAGAAGTTTGAAAAATGAACGTAATTCGAATTCCGAGAGAGTATACTTCAGTGAAACATTCTAATCTGTACTTTTCTGTGGTAAACAGGAGGCTGTGAATTTTGTGTTTCTGCATAAACCGTATACAAAAACATAAAATAAATAAATTATTAAATGAATAAATAAATAAAATGATAAAAAACGCTTAAAAAGCCTGATGATTAGTTGAACACCCCGTTTGTCTCATATTTGACATTCAGACACCCGGCATTTTATAACAACCTGCAGTTGAACCTAAAATCAGTTGCGCAGGTTTTTTATTTGTAAAGTGTTATTTAACGTTCTTAAAAAATCACCCGTGTGAGTGACATTTTCCCACTAAAACGAGACAGTGTGTCGTTTACAGGTAACGCTGGAACTAATGAACTCCACCAGATCTTTTTTTGTCAGTTGTTGAGTTTTTTTTAGCAAATGCATAGGTTTTAAATTTTCCTAATTTCTTTTCAAGAGGGACCACACTTATATTCAATTAGATTAGAGACCATTTGTCTCTTAAAAAAGTAAAACCTATTAAAGAGCCTGAATAACCCGCTTTCTGTCAATACCCAATTCAAATATGTAAGAACCTTTTAAAGCTAAATTGGAAAAATGTAATTCTTATACGGGAATCACAATGCAGTGCCGTAGCTAGACCAAACGGCCAACTGAGGCAGGCGGGAGTTGCTAGGGGCGTTCGGGGGCATGCCCCCCCCCCCCCCGAGAAATTTTGGACTTTAGTCTCTCGGAAATGCGATTTGCAGCGTTTTCTGCGTTTTCAGTATTAATACGGCGAAAATTTTGGTTATATATATATATTTTTTAACTGTTATATTTTGGCCACGAAATCTTTTCTGAGAGGCTCCGATGATCGCTTATGTACAATAAAAATGATCGGCGAAATTCGTCAAAATTTTACCGAGGCGAGTGCCCCGGTTGGCCTCATAGTAGCTACGGCGCTGATTGTGAATAAAAGTTACTGACAGCACCTTTGAAAAGCACTTTACTTTGCAAAACGAAATTTGTTACTTTTACTGAATTCTAACTTCAGAAACCCATGTATAGTACACACCCCGTTGCTACCACGCATACCTGATTGATCCAGGCGTAAGTCTTGATAAACTGATCTTTTGCACTCTAAAAAGATTGATTAACATTATGGGTCAGCTATTTAAACGAAGTCTAACTTAGGTCGTGGTTTAGCAAATCTTTGGACCTACGGATCTCTTCCATAGTGGGATATTTTACTATAGTAAGTGCTTATCCAGTCTAAGCCTTATGCTTTCACGAAACTTTTCACGATAAATGGTGTTTGGATAAAAGTGTCAGGTAAACTGAAAATGGCTTAGAACGGGGTTTTGTTTAACATTAGCTAAACTTCGTTTAAATAACTGGCCCTATGTCTCTATTATTCTGATAGTCATTCCTAAACTCACTGCTATGGAACTGAATTATCAGATGGAATTGAAAGAGACGAGTTGCCAAAAGCCTCTTTTAAGTATGGGTTTCCGTGAACAAGCATGTCAAAAATCTAGTTCTCTCTGAAGACGAAGAAGGAACAAATACAAAAAAAGGAACACACAGCTAAAAAAAAGTAACAAAGAAACTTGATCATAAAATGGGTCACTTTGCACCTTACGAAGAAAAACTACAGTTAGCTTTTTTGCGGGGCCTTTCCTTAAAAGGAAAGAACCTTCTAAAACAGGGCTCCGGAGCAGAGTGAACGGTCGTAATGAGGATGCCGCTAAATGCCACATTAGGAAATCACTTTCCACCAATTGAATTAATTAAAACACAATAACTCCGTAAACTGATGCGCCTCACCACATCAATTATGCGAATAAGCTGGTAATCAAATTCAACAAGCACAGCCTGAGATTCCTTTAAAACTGGTCGGTTGTACTTGTTGTAGTTTTCAAACACGTCTTTATAGAGTCGCGTCTCATTGGTGTAATATGCAGCATCTAAACAGAGAAAGATAGAAGGCGCAGCAGTTACTACATGCTTACTTTACAGCTTATAGTTGACTCTTAAGTATAGCTTGTTGCACCCTGTAAAGGGAATCCAGATTAAGGTATCTGGAAATTTTTGCTTGTGGAATCCGGAATCCTGGGCATTGGAATCCGGAAAACAGCTCAAGGAATCCGGAATCCCGCTAACGATTGTAATCTGGAATTCCAAGTTCCTGCCAAAGAATGGCCAGGAATCCAATAATGCCTGAATCTGAAACCTACGGCGTGGAATCCAGAATCCAAGACTATATTGGATTCCGTTTCATGAGACCAAACATGGTTAGTTATCTGACAGAAAAATTTTGCGTTGCAAACATTTGTAGCTGAATACGTATACACTGGATATGGATTTCAGATTAAGGAAATCTATTGTCTTCTTAAGGTCACTGTAGAGACTTTGTTTCTTAACAAGCAAGTGCTATAGATCGGAAACCAGATTGTCAAATAGGATACTCAGTTAGAGTACAAATAGTATTTAAAATTTTAGAAAAAGAGTAGTATTCCCCAAGTCATGCAGTTTCGTGTTATCTACCGAGTACGCTGAAGTTTGGTGTAAAAGTTTTTCAAACCAAATTATTATCACGCTTGCCACACAAGGTTTGCCGTCTTCTTTCTCTGCCGTCCTGTTTCGTAAGGCCACTAGTGTCTAAAGAAACCAACCGTTTTACTCTGAATTGTCAACAACAAACTATTGGTTCTTGTTTGACTACGAAATGCCACTATACCTGCTACACAGATGAACGCCAACAAAGAGACAGGTATCTTCATTTGGTTCAAGTTATAGATTTACAGCTTTGACAGGAATGAAGTGGAATCTTACATCTGAAGAAAAATGCAGAAATGCACGGAGTGAGATTAAGTTATAAGAGGCATTCAACGTAAGAGCATTTCATGGTTAGATGTATTCAAAAGGGCAATTTCTTTGCAGATTATATCGAATCATTTTGTACTTTTTACTGTCACAAATACACTCATTCAGATTCTCATTCAGACTACCTCAATCAACCAATTTACCATAAGCACACGAATTCTACAACCTGATTGGCTAACGTACTTTTACGTGATAGATAGTGAGTAGCGAGCCTGCGCTTTGAACACAAACTAACAATGGCAACTTCTTTGACAAATCTTTTTTCCCCATTTTGCGGAGGAAAAGAAGGTTTTGAATTCTGAATTGGTTCTACCACGGAAATTAGAATAAGATTTTTCAAACTATTAGTTTCGCTGTTCAGATATATTTTGAATTGTATCAGGAAACTTAGAAGTCATATTTTTACTTAACTTAACCATTGAGGCATTTTTACTTCTAACATATTAGACTGCTTTCACCACCCTTTCTATTGCTTACTCGTACCAGTAAAGTCGACTTACTTTAACAACACCTTGCGTTAAGCAACGTGCTTAACATTGGTTTGCTCCAAGTTCTAGCAAAATGATTGCCAAATCCATTTAAAACAGGAGCCCAAAATGGGTTTCTGTTTAAAGTTATCACAGCGGAAAATGCAACGTGGAGAAAGCGTGGTCGAGTGATTAGAACGCTGGACTCGCGCGCGGCTCGCGCAGGTCCCGACTGTTCGGGTCCTGGGCTGTCGTTTGTAAAATAGCTAACTGATTTGCCTTTCGCCAGTTCGGATTTTTTAAAAAATTACATTTGACTTATTTATATCCATTGATTTTCCCTGCCCCATTAACCTTTGTGTTTTAAACATTGCCGAAGGTAAATAAAGGAGATTTCCTTTAAAGGAAGGCACTTAATAGAAAGGTTGAGTAAAAAGCATCATTTGGTTTCAGTACATATTAATGTGCTATCACTGAAAGCAGGATTGATTATACATCCGTATACTGGCAAAGTTGTTCTGATTTACCTTTGTTGAAAAGTAAATAGTTTATCTTCTTGTAACAACAAGCTCCAAACGTAACAAATTTAACGTAGCCGAACATCTAAATTAAAAGTAAATATAAATTAATGATACGTTTTTGTATTAAAAGAAAAAACAACAAGAGAGCTCTATAATTACCCCGTGATGTTCTATACTTCTCGATGCATTAGTAAGTAAACGTTCTCTGTTCAGATTCTACTGACTAACATTGAACAATAGAAAATAAACGACATTCTACAATTTCCGCTTATCCTTGAATACGGCCTTTTTAAACCAACGCCGGAGGGCCTGAAAGGCACATTTCACGAAATCACCCTTAACTGCAATTCATTTTTAAAGGTGAAAGTCTGGTGAACAGCAATATGTTCGGTTGACCCCACCTGGAGGGTTAATAGGGTGCGAGGGGAGTCCACATTTATTTTGTTTTGACCAATGTAAAATGTAAATAGAGCCATTAATAAAACGCCAAACATGTCAGTCAAAATTCAATGTCTTGTCCGTTAAAAAATAGCACTTATTTCTGGCTTGAGCGAAACAAATTGTATTTTCTTAGTTAATAGGAAAAGAGCCCATCCAGAACATCCAAGAAAGCAGTAAGGATGTATGACAATCGAAAGCATTTGAAAATTTGTCCGTCAAGATAAAATAATGGCAAAACAGATGGAAACCTAATACTTAATTCATTTTTTTGGATGGTCCGAAATATTTTTTAAAATTTAAATGGAAATTTTGCATCATTTCAATTAAATAAAACCCTGTAGCGACGACCGAACAGTTAGCTAATGATAATAATGGCCTTCAGGTGAAAAAGTAAAATACGGGAAAATATCAAGACTTTCTCACAAAAGACTTTGGATAAGGATCACGTAAAAGACAAATATCGGTTAGTTTCTACTTCCCAGTTATCAGCTATCACATCAAATACGATAAAATTGTAACTGATAAGTGAAAAAACCCACTGCTATTATTAATAAGCATCGAACAAGGTCGTATATAATGTCTTGAAGGAATAATTGTTATATAATAATTAATACTACTGGTACTGCGAAAGGCGCGCACGTGAGTTGTATTGCGAGCCCCTCGACGCGAAAGAGTATTGTTTTCTGACGGGGTCTTTTCTGGGAGCGTAGTCTACTGCTCAAGACCCAAAATAGTCCATAAAACGAACCGAGTAAGCCACTCAGAAAATTCCCGGTTGGAACCTTTATTAATGTAGGGAACAAATGCACTTCTGGTTACTAAGGTGATAGCTTTACGCTTGAGGATTTTCGTCATTTGTCGTGTTAGATTTTGAATACTCAAGAAACCGTTGAATGAAGCGGTAATTTCGAAGAGAAAATGTGGTGGTACGTTGTGTTGCTGAACCGGTGGGTATTTAAGTGAAACTCAAATTATTAGTTTATCAACTGAGTTCATGTGACAAAGTCAGTTTATCCCGTGAAAAGATTACAATTACTAACGGTTCGAGCCTTTAGCCCTGGGCTGGCAAGGACTTAGAACAAGGCCCTTAAGTAAGACCATCATTACGGCCAAGGTTGCTAATATAATCATCTGAAACAACGAAAGAGGGGTACGATTTAAATGACCAGTTCGTTTCAAGCTATTTTGAACCCCAGTTGCACATGTATTGTGAATAGATAATGCTCAAACGGTGGAGCAATAATTGTTTTGTTCTCGCCAGCAAGCTCTTTCATTTAACAAAGGCTAAAATTTTAATTTTTTCTTGAAATAACGCAAGGTGAGATCGGAAAAAAAGGAACACAAACATACAAAACAACAGCAACAACATCAACAACAAAAACCAGTTGTCAATTCTCCTTTAAACAGTCTTTGTTCTCCTATTGTGCATATTGTAGGACTAAACCATGATAAGTGCTCAAACGATGGCGTTGTTTTGCTTGCTCAGACAAGCTTGAATGAATGAGCTTCCCGAAAGAGTCAGGAAGCCCTCGATCTGATTCACCATTACCATTTTCTGTAAGGTAGTACGGAAGTACGGAAGTACGGAAACCATCAGTTTTCTGCTTTGTGTAAGAAAGTAGCTAGAGAGGCCATTGAAGTAGTAATTACATTACGACATTTTAGACAGCAAAAAGCTATGTCGGTTAACTATCGCATCTGATGAATCGCATTTCTGTGTGATGGCCTCTTTGACTATCAACTGAAAGGAAAGCGGAAGATATTGTATGCATAAATGCCATGTTTTCGGGCAGCCATTAATTACGGCATGCGAAAGAGGATCAATAAGGTCATTCCTATAGTAAAGTCTGCCCCTAAAGATAACCTATTCACACTAACAATTATGAAAAAAAGATCTGTTTTAGCCGCCCAAAGTGCCAACTCACCCGTGTAGGCTAAAGTCTAATTCAGCCTCTCCTGGAGCCATTTACAGATGAGCATAAGCCAAGCCAAAACAGCCCCTTCTAAAGGCTATTCCAGCCTACGCTGAGGTCCATTTCAGCCCGTGGTTCCAAATGCAGCCGTAGGTAATTGGACTGTATTGGCCCTGATTAAGGAGGCCAAATTACTCAAAAATAGGATTGACCGAAACGGCCCCATGTTTACTAGGGCTAAAACAGATCTCTCTTATTTACAGTGTGCAGTGCACGCTGGAAAATATGCTAGGTGTGGTTACTGCCAGCGGCCAGCAAACACGAAATAGTCAAAATATGATTGAATGTGAAAACGTAACGGCTTGCTGAGCACCATAGGCAAGAAAATGTTTTATCTATCTTAGTAAATGTGGATACAAAATACTAAATCACTTGATGAGGTTTCTTTACACAGCTCGTGCGCTTTACAAAAAAAAAAAAAAACACCGATGCCGTTTTTCATCACCCTTTTTTGTCATTTCTTTTCTATCATGGTTGCAAAGACACCCAACCTCATACAGTCCTTACCTCTAGAATAAGGAAACGTCTGTACAACAGATATTAAGCTTTGTCTCCTTGGCAAACGAGCTTTGACAGTATTACCACCACCTTTCTATAGTAGAAATGAGAAGCACCGTAGAGCCTCTCTGTGGGTACTTGAGTGAGGACTTCGTTTTCGTCACGCGTTTTCCATCAAATCGTCGGTTTTTCAAAGA